AATTCGCAGATGAAGTGTTGGGCACAGACCTGCCACAAGGGTTTCGAGAACTTACCTTGTCATATGATGGCTCTACGGATCCAACTCGTCATCTTAGGAGTTTCGAAAATGTAGCTGTGTTGCACAAGTACAACGACCCGGTGTGTTGTCGGGTCTTCCTGACCACGTTGAAGGGTGCGGCCCAAGATTGGTTCCATCAGCTAGCACCGGGCGTCGTCAAAGACTTTCGAGGCTTTAGTTCGTTGTTCACCAACCGGTTCGCGAGCGCTAAAAAACACGAGAAAACGTACTTATCTCCGATAAATTTGCAGCAGAGGGATGAAGAGTCGTTGAGGGCTTACATAGCCCGTTACACGCGTGCGTGTGTTGAAGTTCCTACCGCCACAGATGAAATCAAAGCCGGCGGATTGACCTGGGGGCTACAACCTGGGCCCTTTCGAGACTCCCTATCCAAAAGGCCAGCTCGAAGTTACGATGAACTATTAGAGAGGGGAAGTAAATACATGAATATGGAAGAAGCACATGCAGATTATCTCGTGCAAGATATTAGGAGGGAAAAAAGACAAGATTCACGACCTTTTCGATCTGACGAGTGGAAATGAGGTCGAGAGGGCAGACGCTTTGAAGAAAGTCGAGAAGATGGAGTCAGTGTGGGAAGGAACATTCAAAGTCCTTAAGGTTTTGAAAAGAAGAGCGTACGAGTTGAAGACAGGTATGGCAAGGTGCTGCCCATGGCATGGAACGTTATTCACCTTAAGAAATATTTTGATTAAGTAAAGTTATGGGAAAGTAATATATGTATATACTTTTTGTTAGCATCGATGTACTTGTTCCGGGGAATATCTTGTAGTCATGAACGTTCTGAGGCGCGACAATACTTGCGAAAGCGCGCTTAATGAATTGTCGTATTATGTTTGAAACAAGAATTATTGTTATGGTTGAGAAAATTTTTTAATGAGAAAGGCCACGCGGGTCGATCAGAAGCCTTAGGGCTAGGTCACCCGGGGCGAATATGTTCAAGGCCACCGGGTCGATCAGAAGCCTCGAGGCTAGATCGTCCGGGGCGAACGTTTTCTCTTTCAAGGCCATCGGGTCGATCAGAAGCCTCGAGGCTAGATTGTCCGGGGTGAACATTTTCTCTTTCAAGGCCGCGCGGGTCGATCAGAAGCCTTAGGGCTAGGTCACCCGGGGCGAATATGTTCAAGGCCACGCGGGTCGATCAGAAGCCTCGAGACTAGATCGTCCGGGGCGAATGTTTTCTTTTTCAAGGCCACGCGGGTCGATCAGAAGCCTCGAGACTAGATCGTCCGGGGCGAGTATTTTTAAGATGACCTGCTCGACCTTAAGGTGGAAGGGTCGACGCACTCGTCTCGAGACATGATACATGAATAATATAGAGCGAGAAAATAGGCGCACATAATCGAAAGATAATACAAAGTATCCGAGGTACAACATCAAATACATGAAACGTCGCTAAAACAAGTGCGAATATTACAAAACGCGAGCAAAAGGTCATACGAGGTCGCAAAATACGAAGAGCATCACAGAGTCTCAAAA